TTAACCAGTCTGATAACTGAGGTTCGAAGAATCGCGTCACGTGCACATAATGACCTTAATCCGACAGATTTACTAAAATAACAGGCATTTCAATAAGCGGTAAGCATTCTCCGATTTGCAAAAGGAAACCTGCAGACGGGGCTGCTTGAATTGAGGGATCAATATTGTTGTTCAACTGGCATGGGGAAACCTCGGTAGATCCATCAGAAAGGTTCGTACGTTTGGGGAGCCAAGTGCACGGGCGGAAGTGGGTCGAACATGAAGGATATAACCTTCCGTAAGTCATGCCAAAAGTTACCCAAAACCAAGAGCGAAATGAAAAACAAATGCCCAACTCACAGAATCCATTCCTTCACATGATCCAGTGAGTTGCTGGGGATCGAGGTGATCATGGCGGGCTTGATACGGTAATCCTTGAATACAAATATCATGTCAAAGGTCTTGATAGAGAGGGAGACACGTTCAAACATCACCAGTTCCACCTCCTCCAAAGTGATTACAAAGGGCGGCCATTCGCTGAGGCTAACCAGACAGCTACTCGTTGGCATCATGAAGACAGTAGTTCTAGAAAACAAAAACAGGGAACAGTCTAAAGAGCGAAGGGGCCGACCGATGGATGTGTTCATACAACCTCATGCCTGTTAGTTACCTTAGTGGGCAACCGTAGAAGCCGAGATCACGAAAGGGCACTTCGAACTCCAGATTATAGCGCCTGGCCAGGTTTTCCACTCGCTCCACAAAAGTCTTGAAGGCGGTTTTAATTTGCTCTCGCATCTCTCTCTCCCTCTGCTCCGCCTCCAAATCGTCACGATCATACATTCGACCGTGACTTTTGCCCAAATCCGTGGTCAGTTCGCCCACCTCGGTGTAGAATTGGATGTTATCCTGCTTTTTCTTCCCATACATGATGGCATTCTAAAGTGAGCCGAAGTAAGATTCACTTATGTTAGTAAGTTAGCAGGCAACGTATTATAGTTTGTATTCCATCCACCTTGAGGTTGAAATGCAGTAGGATGATCATTTCACCATCGCATGGCTGGTAGAAGGCGTGCTTGATGTTGTTGTACAAAATGTCCACCTTATCGCCACGTATAGAAGTGAAACGGAAACCATTGCTGTGCGCCTCCAGCGTACCTGGAAGCAAAGGAGTAGTTTGAGTGGTAAAAGGCTTGTGAATTTGACACAAGTAAGAAAACTTTTCACACCAGTGATACGTTTGGCCACAATATTTGGCCGAATGTAGAGATCGCGTAGCCGAAAAGCTGTTTTTCCCGGTTCAATGACCAGATT